AGCACAACCATGTTTTCCCTGATTCCATGAGAGCTAGAACTCTGGGTTATACGCCCGAGTTCACTCTCTAAGTAATTAGCTTAGGACGTTGTTACGCAACGTTTCAGATCGGTAGCAGTAGTAGTCGCGGAACGGACACCGGAGACCTGGGCAACATGTTGACCGATCATGTATAATTATTTACTATGATACATTTATGCTTTTGGGAAAACGGTTTTATGTTATATCGGTGGTAAACTTTTATATGGTTTGTAGTAATGTTATCGCTGTCGTTCGTCTATGTATAATTACAACTAGAATAAGGTATCATATACATATATATGAATGTTTTCCTTGCGCTAACTTTGAAAAAGAAAAGTTTTAAATTTTCACAAAGTTTTAGAATTATGTTTTTTATTTTAATCGTCCATATGATGTACCTTGTATTGCGGGATACGAGTCATAGATATCACAGTTTCGATTCGAAAAAATACTGTATTTTCGATTTCGTATTGCTCGATTCAACGAAATTGAACCGAAACTCCCAACTCTATCTCCTAGTGCTCATTTTGCTGAGGTAAATAAGATTTTGCGATAAAATATAGTGGAATCATAAGGATCGGATTTCGAAGAAACTAAACACCAAAAATATAGCCAAAACCTCTATTTTTGTCTCGTGGACAATAATATAAAACTTGGTATTTGTTCATTCTACTTTTAGATAGGCTTTTTGATTCGTGTACTCATATCAACCGATAGAGCCGTGCCACGTAGACAGATAATCTGTAATTGAATTAAAAAAAATATATTTTTTTCCGGTGGTAATCTATTTATATATACCCGAACTTTTATAAAATTCCTAAATAAATACCTAAACTATAAAACTCTCAAACCAATACCTAAATCTTTTAAAACTTTCATATAAATACCCAAATTTTTTAAAAAACTTTCAAATACAATAATTTTCCATTAACGCCGTTTAATTTATAGTGGAATCTCATGACTCGATCAATTAACGCCGTCAACGAAAATTGTTGTATTTAGAAATTTTTAAAAAGTTTAGGTATTTATATGGAAATTTTAAAAAATTCAGATATTGATTTCAGAATTTTATAGTTCAGGTATTGATTTGGAAATTTTGTAAAAATTCAGGTATTTATATGTGATTATTCCTTTTTTCCGGGATGGAGCGACAATAGTCATTACTATAGTTACCGTCCAGGTAAAGATTAATTAACTTTATTTAATCCGTTTAATTGGATTAATTTATATTGCATTTGGTCTAGCGTCAATTTGTTTAGATTCGTGGGTTTATATTGCTTTCTCCAAAACGTTTAGATTTTAAATTGCACCCTTTACGTTAATTAAGCTGAATAATTGATGATAGAGTGTTCTTATAATGTAGTATAATAACAATTCACTCAAAACCCAAATTTGTGAATTTTAGAAAAATATTATCTAAAGATAAAAAGTTTAGTTTAATATATATATATATATATATAGAGAGAGAGAGAGAGAGAGAGAGAGAAAAGGAATGTAATATATTGGTTGATAAGATATGCATTGATCAGAAACGGGTGTGTTTTGTAAGGAATAAAAAAACTAAAAAATTTTGGGTGACTGTAAATAAACTTAGATGCATGTATGCTTATATGCACAGGAATAACTTCATTTTATATATATTTACCTGATATTAAAATCATAATGTTAACATAACAGTAAATTTACAATTTTACCTAATATTTTGTTAGACTGAATACATTATTTTATGAACGGTTAATTTGGAATTTTTTATAATCCGGAAGTTCATCGGATTTTTTGTCCAACTATATGAATAGATTTAATTGTGGATATTTTCGTTAATATTCCTTGAAAATATAACGTCCATGCGACAAGTTTAAATGCATATCAAACTGGTTTATGATAACTCTTATGCCGTTTTGGTTCAGTATATGTTTATACCATCTTCACCCACATGTTTACATTTTAATAGGGTTTAATTACACCGTTTACTTTCATTAAGCTCAATAATTCATGATGAAGTGTTAGGATAATGAAATATACTAAATAATATACTGCCCATGACACGATTAAATATATAAAACTGGGTAAATTGGATTAATTATAACGTTTGGTTGGTCCATAGTCAATTAAGATAAATTCACGAATTTGTACTCTTTCACAAAAAAAAATTACACCATCTATTTTTAATCAAGGACCAGGTCCCGGGGAAAATAGTCGCCGAGGAAAATATCTCATTCATCAATTTGATTTTTTGTAGTAATCGGATGTCATGTATCGAGATCCAAACTAATTTTGGAGTCGGATCAAATCATATGATTAGAATATACACTTCTCTCCATAACTAGAAACTCGAACTCGGGTCGGGACGGACTTTTGCATTCGCGTTTCATCTGTTGAGTTATTTAAGTTGACTTCATCGATTTGATTTGCTATTCTATACATATATATAACATTAATTTAAACATTTGTTTTTCCAATTTTTAACATTTTTAAATAACGACAATGACTTTGTCGCCTTCTCACCCATTTCGATTCAAATATCCAAATATTTGTGATTCCTAATACGAGTGTTTTTAAAGATTTTGGGACTAATTATATATGTAATTTAACATATAAATTGATCATTTTCTGCGATTGTTTGGATTTTTTTATAGACACGAAATAACTTTCAGGGTGCTAAATAATATCCTAAAACACAGAATTTTATAAGTAGAAATAGATTTATTTAAAAAATCTATGTTTTAAGATTGTTAGAAAAACATTTACCTATTTTTACGGGAGGAAATAGAAACCAAGAAAATTTAGCTAAATAATACAAAATAACTATTAACAGTATATTTATACATAACAATTTCAAATAGACTGTTTTTCGCACGAAATATAAAAACTATCAAAGAGAATATCCAAAATACTCTCTTTTTGTTAAAATTATTTTTACATATACACTTTTTCAAATGTGATCATGTGATCAGAATGATACTATGGTAACATGATGATCACATTATTCATAGCGATAAACTTATGATGATTTTATTAAATGATTAGTATGATATATAAGGTGTGACCATCGTAATTTGGTGTCATCGCCATAAATTGAACGTTATGACCAATGTGATCATATGATTACATATGGAAAAAGATACGTGGAGAAGCATTTTTAGTAAGTAAAAAAAATATATTTTTTTATCGTTTAGAAAAATTCACCAACTTATATTATTTTCTCAAATTCATATAAAAATATAACCTCGTTAACTAAGCAACATTTTTCTGTGAACAATGCTGATGTGATTGGCCGGATTTTTTACGTCAACTTCATGTGATAGTTTTTTACCACATCAAATAAAATAATAATAAAAATAAATAATAAATTGGAAATAATAAAAAAGAAGTAAATAATAAATTGCAAAAATAATAATAAGAAGTAAGAAATAACAAAATTTTTAAACAAGTAAAAAATACAGAAAATATACAAATAAAAAAAATATATAATTTTTTTTTTATCCTCTCTGCGAACCGAACCAAGCTGAGGTGTGGAAAAACTCTCTCCGAAGAGGTTATTTTATTTGTTCCCTTCTCCGCCAATCTTCTACAAAATTATATGTAAAAAAACCCTACGTGTAACGATTTTGTTCTTTTATTCACGATGACATTTTAATAATTACCGATTATATAAATTATCTATTTTAGCCCTGATGATGTGGATGCCACGTGGACAGATTTGTGACATGGAGAAAACTCGTTTGAATATTGATTGCTTATAATCCTTTGTAAAGAAGGCCGCAGGTTCAATAATGATGGAGTGTTAATATCGTATAATATATTAAATAACATAGGGTATATGATAAGTTTGAGTATACATATAACTTGTTTAATTGGATTAATTTAATTTATAGCATTTGGTCCGGCGTCAATTAATATGGATTCGCATGTTCATATATATTTTTTTATCAAGATGTTTGTATTTTTAATTAAGTCACACCATTTACGTTATAATAGTATAACGTCCATGACAAGATTAATTAAATTATATGAAACTGGTTTAATTAGATTGATTGTTGGTCCATATGCATAATCAATTAAATTGTTGGATATCGAATCGAATAAGATAATGGTTTAAGTATTTCTCGGAAACCATAATAACAAACACAAAACATAGAAATTAAAATTAAACCAAAGACGACCGTCGAGTTACAAAAGAGTTAAACCGGAAACAGGAAATCACATTGAACCAATAAACGCCATTAATAACTGAATAGTTCCTCATATACATGCCCCATTTGGATTTTTTAAACATTTTTTTAATAATGCTTCTCACCTTAACGGTTTAACCCCTTCTGGTTCCAAAATACATGACATACGCAAATACTTGCAAATCTTAAACTGAGTATTTTTAAAATATTTTTGTACTCAACTATGTATATATATATATATATATATATATTACGTACTGATTGATCTATGTATGTGAGAGTTTGGATCATGCTTTTATAGATGCCGAACTTTCATGGATGATAAATAATAACACCACAAAACTATATAATAATAAAGAAAAGTTCCAATGATTTTATATACTAATCTGTCAAACACAATGATTGAATATTTATATTACTTTTTAGAGAAAAATTAATTACTTGGATTTAGAATTTCTTTCTACATATATATATATATATATATTGGAAATTCTACATCGTTTTTTCAAAGGTTGCTTTAAAAAATTCCATTTAACTTTGTTCTTTTTTTTGTTGGGATTTTGACTTTTGTATCAACCATTTAGACTTTATTTATGTTTTTTTTTGTCTATAATTCCTCAAAATGTTACGTGTACTTCACCAGGCCAACAGGACAATAAAAAAGAAAACACAATGGTAATACCAAAGTCCACCTTTCGATTGTTTCCCCCAAGAACGTCATCAACATTTGGGCATAATCAAGCGCACTCTATGCCTATAAATTCAGCATTAACCTTGCTAATTGTTTTTCAAGAGAGTTAGTGAGGAAATATCAAAGGAAGTTTGGGTTGAGTTCTTCGATTTGATAATGGCTTCTCACCTTAAGCAGACCATTTTAATGGTTATGGTAGTCACCGCCGCCATTATCACAACTTCTGCCCAAGAAACTGAAATTTCCGATTTCCATGAGGCTGAAATACTTAGACGCTTGCAGCAACTTAATAAGCCTGCTGTTAAATCCATCCAGGTCCTTACAATAATGTATTCCACTATGTGAAACCTAGCATAAGGCTTGAAACCGTTGACGCTAACATTTTTTCTTCGAGATGTTTATATATATGGACAGAGTCCAGATGGAGATATAATAGATTGTGTCCCTATTACCAACCAGCCGGCGTTTGACCATTCTTTGCTGAGGAACCACATCATCCAGGTTTTCTAAGAGATTCAAATCGGTTTCTCCCTTTGGCTGGTTTCTCCCAATATGTTTATAATTGTTTTTTTTGTGAATTAGATGAGGCCGAGTTCCGAACCCGAAGGCGGTCTTGCAGAAGAGGCCGAAGGAAAGCCGAAGGGTATACGTCAACTATGGCACATGTACGGAGAATGCCCAGAAAACACAGTTCCGATGAGAAGAACAAAAGAAGAAGATCTCTTAAGATCAACTTCCCTCGAGAGTTTCGGGAAAAAGAGTTATAAAACCATCCAACAAGTTGTCTCAAGTGATTTAGGTGCATCCGTCCATGAGGTATATTCATATATATGCATTTGAATATATTTGCAGTCATATTACTTAATCCTCATTTGATTTTTTTTTCTTTTTTGGTGCTGATTTAGTATGGAGTAACGCAAGCATTGAACAACAGGGTTTACGGTTCGAAATCCTTCATCAATGTATGGAAACCCTTTGTCCAACAATCTAATGAGTTCAGCTTGGCCCAGACATGGGTTGTCTCCGGAAGTGGTTCTGATCTCAATACCATAGAAGCTGGTTGGCAGGTCTTATTCTGATTCGGCTGATATATCTCTCTTGTCTCGGTTCGTCTACTTACATTCTTTCTTCTTTTGCCTTCTGTATATGCATATATACAGGTCTATCAACAGTTATACGGTGACTACAACACAAGACTTTTTATCTACTGAACAGTAAGTTTTGACTTTGAGAGTTTAATTTATTATCTAGGGTTGTTTCTTTCCGACATATGGATTCCTACGAACCATAATCCTCTTTGGCCACTAACAAAATATTGGGAATTCAAAACAGCGGCAATCCATCAATATTTGATGCACATGGAAGAGCATATAGAGGAAGAACTTACCTCTGGTTTCATATCCAATGACTAGTGAATTGGTGGGCTGATGAAAGGGAGCTAGTGCAAGCTTTTGTTGCAGGAGAAATAAATAGAAGAAGATATAAGCAGCGCAGGGGAGGAAGAATAAGTCGAAGAGGAAAAAAAAAGAATACGGGCAAGAAAATCAAACCATAATGGATGAGAGAGAGAGTGTGGGGTAATATAAAGGGAGCAGGTGAGTGTTTTAAGGAGTGCTTTCCCCACTCCGTATTTTTTTAAAATCACGGGATGTTACAGATAGCGCGATCCGAGTGGACTGGGGAGGTGAAATCGTGAACGCACAGTCTAGTGGACACACGAACACAGATATGGGAAGTGGGCACTTTCCAGAAGAAGGGTTTCGGAAAGGCAGCCTTTTTCAGGAACCTCCAGATAGTTGATGGGTCTAACACTCTTAGACCTCCACCATCACTTGGAGCCCTCGCCCCGACGCCTAAGTGCTACAACGTCCGCATCGGAGGCTCAGGTACATCATGGGCCACTCACTTCTACTACGGTGGTCCTGGCAAAAACCCTAACTGCCCCTGAAGAATGCGTATATATGTATGCATATATGTTGTCACGTGGATAAACATATGCGCTAAAGATTGTGTGTAAGATGTGTGTATAGTCCATAAGATTCGGTGTGGTACTTTGTAATAACCGAAGGATGTTTGGATTTCTCATTGAATAAGTGCTGAAGTCTGCGCCGTATGTGCATGTCAATATTCAGACAATGTGTGACGAGTGATTATGTTTTTCAATAAATAAAATTTCTCTGTTGTCCGGATGGTTCTCTTTTAATATTCTAAAAATATACCCACAAAACATGGAGAAGTTATATTATTCGGTATTACTCTAATGATGACGACGTGGCATAGTGCACGGACTTTTATCAAGTTTTATAGAGAAAATTTACCCAAAAAAAGTTTTATAGAGAAACTGGTATATATATAGAGCTCAAATTAAGTATATATATTTTTATAATATAACAATTTTTTATTAAATTATGGAGCATTATAATTTGACTGTTAACTCAAGAGTTTGAAAATAGAATATATATTTATAATACATTTTTGTATTGATAAGATGCATTAAATTATGGGACATTAAAATGATAGTTCGATTCTAATACACTTATCTTTTTTTATACTTATCTTTTTTTATTAATATATAATTTGCCGACTAAAATTGTACACTGCTTGATAAATATTCACATAAGATGCATCAAGTGTGTTTACTAATTTGTATTAAAAAAAGGATTTGGATCCGTATTATCACTTATATAGAAAACAGACAGTTTCGTACATTTATACATTGAATAGAGTGATTTGCACCAATATATATATATGATGAATACTCGTATAAGATAAATCAAGGGTCCTTGCTTTTTTTACCATAAAAAATATGGATGTGAATCCCAATTATTGTTTTCCATATATTTTATTCTTGTTATAGAAAATTGTTTTTGAAGATTTATACATTTAATAGTGAGATTAGTTTCACTTTCACAACAAAGGCTTTGTTCATATAAAATTCCATTGTGTACATGTGTGTATATAAATGACGAATATTCATATAAGGTTTATAGAAGGCACTTACGTTTTTGTAAATAAATATTTGGATTTAATTCTTTTATTGTTTTCCGATTTGTTTTCACTATTGAGTGTTTTAATATAAAATTCCATACTGTATATATAGAGAGAGCCAAGCCCGTGACAATTATATTCTAAAGTCGTGTGAGCATCGTTAGCTTTTTGATATAATGATGAATAATCAGACATGCAGTTTTGTGCTGACACAGTGATAATAGCAACTGTAATTGTTGGTTCTGTAGGAAAACGCAAACTCTCCGAAGCCGAAATTCAAAGACTATTGAAGCAACGCAACAAGTCTCCCGTCAAGTCGAATCTGCGCAATTTTGGCCAAACTCGGTCTTTCTGACTTGATCCAACTGACTCGACCTTGTTGACTCGGACATGTTGACTCAGCCTCTTCGTAGCAGGCTTGGATTCGACCCATCTTCAACATGTGATTCGGTCCACTCTCTAGAGTTGACTCAGGACGAGTCAAAACGGGTAATTCTGATGCACTTGATCCTTTTAGCTCTAGATTGCTCCCGTTTTGGTCCGAGTATCATCCAAAATTTGTAATCCTATAAAAACACAACCAAACCGAGTTTTGATGGCCTAATGCATCTAGAAAGCCTACAAATGCATGTGATCTTCTTATAAATCCTATGAAAACGTCCTAGAAATATAGAGAAATATGAGTTATCAACCACTAAAACCATAATTTTAAAATTTCGATTTTTGGGAGAATTTAAAATTATGATTTATTCAAATATTACAACGGAATATATATATACACACATCAAATCCACATATATATATATATATATATATATTATATATATACATACATACACACCCCAAATGATATTAACAAAAAACTGAAATACAAATCATTAGAAGGTTTACCACTGTTATTTCTAAAATATCTGAATAAATGTCAGTGTACAAAATATACATGATACAACTATAGAGGAATAACTGCACAGGCCACCGCGTCAACGATCATCCGAACGCCGCTTATCTCCTGAAATATTGCGTAACAACTTCCTAAGCTACGTGTTTAGTGAGTGACTCGGGTACTACCCAGATATCTCACTCAAAACCGATAAGTCAACGTAAAAATAAAATAATAGTAAAAACATTCATCATGATATCACCTAACAACGATCAAACCATCAATCGCAATCAAGTCCATATGATAAGTCATAGGGCGCATCCCGTCTAATCATCTTTATATGTATTACACACATAGGTCATCCCATGCGAGCCAGCACGCGAGGATCATCACATCAATCTCACCATCTTGTGCCTCACACATAATAACCAGTTCAAAGAAGACAACATTTGAAGACCATACAACTCATCCAGGTACTTTACACAAGGATGAATGTCTACAATCCAAGTATATTATATACGAGGATCAAATATGATCAGCATATAACTCCCCTTCGGTCATTGATATCACATATCTCGGTACCTAAAATTTCTAGATTATGAATCTGTAACGCCCGAAACCCGTATCCCGCAATACGAGCTGCGTCACATGGATAATTAAAATAAAACCCAATTCCAAAAATCCGCGGAAATTTAAAACTTTTATTTTCAGAGTTAGCGGAAGAAACACATATATACATTTATGATACATTATTCTCAATTATAATTATATATAGTCGAGGGGTAGTATAACATTATTACAAACCTTAAAAGTCTACCACCGATATAACACAAACTGTTCCCCAGAATATAAATGTATCAGAATACATAATTATACATGATCGGTAGTGGTAAGCTGCCCAGGTCTCCAATGTCCGCTCATCGGCTACTGCTGCTCACGACCTGAAACGTTGCGTAACAATGTCCTAAGTTAATTGCTTAGAGAGTGAACTCGGGCGTAACCCGAAGTTTTATTCTCATGGAACTAGGGAAAGCAAATACATATATATATACTAATATTCTAATAAACAGGAATCGAAAACATGGAATCAATGATAAGCATATCAGAATTCACAATCAAGTCCATACGACAAGTCGCAGGACAGAGTCCGTCAAATCGTCTCTACGCGCACCATGCGTAGGTAATGTACTCCCCATGTACATAGCACAACCACCTCTCTCCTCGGAATCCGTCTACTCCGCAACCACTCGGATCCGACATAAATATATTTTTCTCCGCCCGAACACATCACCCCACCCTAACATCAATATCACCTCTCGATACTATGCGTGTCACCCTACTCCGGCATTGATGTCACCTCTCAATACCGGAGCTCACTAGACGTCGGCTACAACTGACGCCGTCGACTATAACAGGAGAGCCAATCACTGCAACTCCCCCTCGCCGACCATCCGTCGCGGAATTACTTGTCAAGTTCGGGCCCGAACCTGACAAAGTAAGTCCGTACCACCTCCTCGGGAGACCCCAATCTACCCGAATCTTAGGTATGTGTGATGCCTCATCCTCGGGATACTCATATCCCGGGGTCCACTCCGTCGCTAACCGAAACTTTGGCGTGGTTCCAAGAACCGTATGTTCCTCGTCACGCAATAATACCGACTACAATCGGTTATCTACGCAAGTCATCAGGGTGCCCATAACCGTCTTATCATGTTGGCGTGATTATATCATCGCCACATTCACAATCATATCCCATATGGGTGGCATCCGACCCGGATCGGATGACCCATGAATGGGACACAATCTCGCAAACATCGTGCAATCATTCACAAACGTCCGTTTCTACAATCACGCGCTAAACGTTAATCCAAACCCTTTCGAATTAACGCTAGTGTCATGTCAGCTACCCCAGTCACACACATTTATATAGTTTAGTTACTATACATGCATTTCCGCTTGCGTAATATTTTATATTTATTTATATATTTTCTTTGAGTCTTTCCATTCATATTACCGAATTGTACCTCCGGTATGACCTATCTGGTCCCGGTTTGCTCGGATAACCAGTTCGGTTCATTCCGTGGTTTTTAACGTTATCTGTTATTTATTTTGGGTCCAGACTACGTGGGATCCGGTCTGGCCCGTATTTTTGGTCTATTTTACATTTTTCACTTTTTCACTATTTGAGTTGGGGTAATACTAGGTCCGACTAGTCTAGTTTTTTATTTTTCCACATGATGAATTTTTAAGGTTCCGTTACTCTTTTTTTTTCTCTGGGTGAGCCACTCCTCCGCAGCTTCCGGTGACCGGACGGTCTGGCTGGTGCAGAACGGACGTTCCGGACTGTCTAGAATGGACGGTCTGAACTTCGTCTTCAACCTCTGGACTTCGCGTTTTCTCCTGCAGATCTAGAACGGACGGTCTGACCTCAGACCGGACGT